GTTGTTGGAGTTTGTTTTATAATCCGATATAATTTTAATTTCCTCACGTTTTCCATTTCACATCATTGAACTTCATATTGTTTTCTGCGGCCCATTTAAAGATTTGGTTGATGTCCGCCTGGAGTCTTGCAGTGTCTTCAGTGGAGGACATTGTCATGCATATTTGGGTGTCATCCTCAAAGGAAGACACGGTGCTGTGGCTTGTATCCCTGTCTATGTCAGATGTGAGGATTGCCGTGTTCCTCCCTTAAGCTTGCCGTGTTCCTCCCTTAAGTCAATGTGACCTGACCTGACTAGGTTGGGTGCATTGGCTTAAGCTGGTAGGAGACTTGGACCTGCCTCGCATGGGCCAGTAGGCCTTCTGCAGTGTTCCTTCGTTCTTATGTTCTTATGTTCTTATGAATACTGTGCCTTGTGGAACAGAGTTTTTCGCAGTAGCTGCCTCAGACTTTACTCTGTTTACTACTACTCTTTCTGTTCTATTTGTTAGGAAATTATAGAACCATCTACCAACTTTTCCTGTTATTCCTATGTCATGCATTTTGTGTGCTGTTACACCATGGTCACACTTATCAAAGGCTTTTGCAAAATCTCTGTTTACTACATCTGCATTTTGTTTGTCTTCTAGAACATCCAGAACCTTGTCATAGTGGTCCATTAGCTGGGACAGACAGGAGCGACCTGCTCTAAACCCGTGTTGCCCTGGGCTGTGTAACTGATGGGTATCTAGATGGGTGGTGATCTTGCTTCTTAGGACCCTTTCAAAGATGTTTATGATGTGGACGTTAGTGCTATCGGTCTGTAGTTCTTTGCTATTGCTTTACTGCCCCCTTTGTGGAGTGGGGCTATGTCTATTGTTTTTAGCACCTGTGGGACGACCCCCGTGTCCATGCTCCCTCTCCATAGGATGTTAAAAGCTCATGATAGGAGCTTCTTGCAGTTCTTGATGAACACGGAGTTCCATGTGTCTGGGCCTGGGACAGAGTGCATGGGCATGTCATTTATCGCCTGTTCGAAGTCATTTGGCATCAGGATATCAGATACGTTCGAGTCTTCCAAATTCTGTCTCATAAAAAATTCATTTAGGTCATCGACTCTGTCTGGTTAGCGGCTTGCTAAAACCCGAGTCATACCAGAACTTGAGTAGCTCACTCATTTCCTTGCTGTCATCTGTGTAGGACCCATCTCGTTTAAGGGCCCAATACTGGATGTTGTTTTTGACTTTGGCATAAGAAAAGAAATATTTTTTATTTCTTTCAATTTCATACATGGCTTTTAGTTCTTCCCGCGTATCTTGACTCCTGTAAGATTCCTTTAACTTTAGTTCGATGTTTGCTAATTTCTGACCAGTGTCTCCCTGCGTATTACGGATATATTGGTCTCTTTTGGCCTCTCTGTTATTCTTTGCCTTCGCCTGTATAGGGAGCGCCTTTCTCTTTTTAGTTTACAGCTTCTCCTTTTTCCTAAAGGAATATGCCTTGAGTATACCTCGAGTTAATTTATTCTAGACATAGGTTTGGATTCGTGTTGCTTAGGCTATCTTCTTAGTTTATATCACTTAGGAACTGGTTTACTTGGTCCCACATTATTTTTTTATTATTGAAGTTGAATTTGGTGAAGACTTCCTCGTGACTGATCACATTTTGTCGGTCTGGGGCTCCGCGCATACATGTCTGAACCTCTATTATGTTGTGATCTGAGTATATTTATTGTTTTTGATATTGTAATATTTCGTATCAGATCATCATTGTTAATGAAGATGAGGTCCAATGTATTCTCCAGTCTTGTAGGCTCTCTTATTTGCTGGTTTAAGGTGAATTTGGTGCAGAGATTTAAAAGCTCGTGTGTGTGCGAGCTTTCATCTGAGCTGCCTCCTGGTGTTATCTCTGCTACAAGATTATTTGCCACATTCCTCCATTTTAGGTGCCTTAGGTTGAAATCCTCCAGGAGCAAGATGTTGGGGACAGGAGCGGGAAGATTTTCCAGACAGTGATCAAATTTCAAAAACTGTTCCTGGAATTGTTGGGAAGTTGTATCCGGAGGCTTGTATACACCCACAATGACCAGGTTTTTGTTCTCGATCTTTACTGCCAAAACTTTAACTACATCATTTGAGACATTTAGTAGTTCCGAGCATATAAGTGACCCTGTGATGTACAGGCCAACCCCCCCTCCCCCTCTTTGCCTGTTCACTGTCTCATTGATATAGGTTGTAACCTGGGAACCATATTTCATTGTCAAAGTGGTCCTTTATGTGGGTCTCTGTGAAAACCACGAACATTGCATTTGACTCTGTAAGCAGTCCATGGATGAAAGGTATTTTGTTGTTCATTGCTGGCTTTAGATCCTGTATATTTGCAAAGATGAATGTCGTCAGATTAGTGGTATTGGTGGTATGGGGGGTGGATCTTTTTTCCTGGCACTAATATCTGTTGTTTTGGAGTGGAGGCCATCGACTGTGATTCCACTCCAGAAATGATCGGAGTTGGTGTACGATTTCTGTCATTTCTTGCCAGCTTGTTTTCCTTCATGGCGCTAAAAAAAACTCCGGAGTGGCTGTGGCTACCTAGGTTTTCCCATAGTCTGGATGTTTTGTATCTTCTTGTTCCCTTTAGATGGTGTATTTGACAATGTAAGTTATAGCATTGTCTTTCCTAAAATGAAGAGTGACACATTTCAAGGTGGAAAAGCTTACAAGAAGGGAGGTTGCATTTTCCTGTTGTTATATGGGAACGGCATTTTCTAGGGTGGTCAAATTGCACTTCCCATCTGTTTTTCCAGATACTCCATACCTGCAGATACCAAGTGCATAGAATTTGCATTGGCCTGGTTTCTGCTTGCCTTAGTTTTTTGTGACTGTATTCCCTACTGGTGCATGCTTTCCTGTCTCATTGCTATCCTCAGCAGTAGTGCTAACAATGAAGCCTTCACCAGTTATTTCTGGTGATTTATCTTCACTGTTTCTTTGGGCATCCCCTTGTTTACTATCTCCCGTGGTATTGCTAGTTGTAACATTGGTTTTGGCATGTTCTTGTCTACATCTGTTCCCCCACTAGTGCTCCTGTCTCCCTCTAGGCCACTAACATTCAATTCTCCATTCTTACAGTTACTGTCTTCCAGGACAGCATTTGTACCAGGGGCGACAGCACCATTTGGCCCAGACTTTTTATTTCCCTATCTGTTATAGAATGCTGTCCAGTTTTCTATGAAGGCCGATTTGATGTTATCTTTTAATACCAATGTGATTTTATTCCATAGTTTGATCTCACTTGGGCATACCCAAAAACATTTCTTTGATTTAATATCTCTTGTAGATGATTCCTGAATATCTGCACAAGGTGCATGGGCCCATTTCTCACAGAAGTTGCACGAAATCCATGCAGTAGCCCTTTTGTATGGTTGCAGACTACACAGGATTTCATGATGTGATTATATTGGTTGTTTTACTGTATATTCTACTAATATCCTCCTTAAAGTGTAGATTTGTCAATTTGTATTGTATCTATCTGTATTTGTACGTGTATGTGTTTGCGACAATCTTACAGCTCTAGTAAGTTACTGTTTGGGTGTTTGATAAGGGCACGTAAAACTCCTCAGCTTATGAATCCACTCAGAAGATACCTTATTTTTTCAACAAATCCGTTTGGGTGTTAAGGATGCCTCGATACTCTCAGGTTTTGAATCCAGTCGTGGTTCACTTATTTCTTGGATGAATCTGGATGAATCCGGTCAGTGTATCACTTATTTTATGAATCTGGTCCGTGATTTTGGACTAGCTCGTGAAAGGACTACTGGAATATTTTTTAATAGAGTAATATATGTTTAGTTTGATACAGAAAGTATAACTTGCGTGTTGGAGAAACCGGTGACTTCTGGCAGCTCCTACTATGACAAACGGCCGATGACCTCTGGCACCCTTTTTTACCACCTGAAGTTTTGGGCACTTATAGATCACTGTGTTTAGCTTCTCTAGATTTTTTTCACCTCCACCACAACAAATGCTATTTTATCACTATTGTTGAGTAGTGAAGATTACTGGAGTAATATTTGCTTTTCGTTGTGTATATTGTGACCGCTGCTAACTATAAGCTTAATGTACAAAGTGTGTACGTCTCGTATTTCAAAAAGGAAGAAGTTTCTAAGGGAATTGAAGGTATTGAAGTATTCATGACTGGTGTTGAATGGTTGCCACGCAGCCTTAATGATCCCCGTGCAGTACACGTGCTCTACACCTCTTTAACCAGCAATATCAATGTGAAACTGGAATATGTTAAAAGTTTTGCACTCTGGCAGGACTGATCTTCATTTTTACGTGCACACTCTACGACACATAAATATTCTTAACTTTCTGTATAGTTAGTATGTATTTATGTTATGTATTTTATGAGTTGATAGGCCTCGAATATTTCCAGTTTTAGGCCTGGTTTGAGACCGGGCCGGGGGAAGGGGGGGGGTCATAAACCCAGCTGTACTGTGAATGTCTCTGTGAGGCTCCTTGATGCTGGAGAAGGGCTCTTGATCCAAGGAATTGAGCTATCTCGGATCAAACACTATTTCCTCGCATGAAACAGGGTGTGATGGATATGTGGGTGGGCGGGTCGCCACCAGCAACAGCCTGGTCGACCAGCCAGTCAACAAGAGGGCCTGACCATGCATCGAGTGGTGACAGTACGATAACTCTTAAAACTGGTCACAGGTTATCCACGGGTTATATTGTTGAAAATGGTATAAAATACCGACAAGTTGAAGATTAAGACAAATGTGCAACAGTTGGGTATCTTTGTTGATGAAACGTTTCACCTACACAGTAGACTTCTTCAGTCAAGTACAGAGGCAGCAGGTGTAGTGGTGAAATGAAAATGAGGTAATCAGTCTATCAACCTTGGTTGATGGACTGTATCTTATTCTAATACGTCAAAATTATTTACAACAATAAGTATATTATTGATAGTGTATTAGTGATGGTCATTATATAACTGTGTTTGTTCTCTGTGGCAGGTGATGGTGTAGCATTATCTGGCAGCAGTGCCACCACCAGCAGTGCCACCAAGGGAAAGCACCGAAACAGTAGAGGAGGAGGAAGACTTAGTGGCTGAGGCGATGATTGCCTTGCTGGAGACCACTAACATGGCCCTGCACCCACCACCCCCAGAACTGCCTCCAGGTACGTTCTTGGTGCCACAACCCCCAACCTAACTCTCTCTCTCTCTCTCTCTCTCTCTCTCTCTCTCTGCTATCCTTGACTTAACACACACCTACTTAATACATGATAGTCTTTCATCTAGATAGTAGCAGCAGATAGTCTCGGTGTGGACCTCCAAATCCTCTGCTGTCTGTCTTTCTCATGTACTCTGGTGTATTCCCATGTTTTCACATCTACTCTCGTGTACTCCCATGTACTGCCATGTGCTCCCATGTTCTCTTTTGTACTCCCATGTTCTTCCGTGTACTCCCATGTACTCTCGTACTCATTATTCCAGAGTTTACAAAAGTCATTACAGATTATATTGTAGTAGGCTTCTAGTTACCATGAAATGTTGTTTTGGAAATGATATTCTTGTCGTGGATGTTGGTAGTGAACACACCAGGAGGGTGGGCAGAGAACCTTCCGCTTTACTCTTCTTTACAAGTAGTGACTGGTAGACGAGTGTGCTTGTTCCTCGGAACAACTTTGATATCTACTGCTTCCTGTTCCGCCACCTCTTCTTCCCCCTCTCTCTCTCTCTCTCTCTCTCCCCTCCTTCCCTCCCTCTCTACCCTTCTTCCTTCCCTCTCTTCCTTCGGGAATCACTGACTTTTAAATTAATTACAACTGGTGGAAGTTTATCCGCGAATTTTCCAGCTATTAAATGAAAAGCTTCATGCATAGTGACCACACCGTAACTACACTGTACACGGTGACTAAACTGTACACGGTGACCACACGGTACATGGTACCGTGTCATTTTGACCTGTGCCATTATAAACTGCGCTATTTCGAGAGTGGACTTGAAAAGCTTTTGTCCCTGGTTGTGGCATTCTTAAGAGTACGTTATGTTCGGCGTATATCACACACAGGCATATAGGCATGCCCTCCCGACCAGGGAACCAGACGCTACGAGTGTAACAAGCGGGGCCCCCCCTTGTTATGCTAGCACCTTGGTTCAACAACCAGACGCTACGAGTGTAACAAGCAGGGCCCCCCTTGTTATGCTAGCACCTTGGTTCAACAACCAGACGCTACGAGTGTAACAAGCGGGGCCCCCCCTTGTTATGCTAGCACCTTGGTTCAACAACCAGACGCTATGAGTGTAACAAGCAGGACCCCCCTTGTTATGCTAGCACCTTGGTTCACCACACCCAGATGCTACGAGTGTAACAAGCAGGACCCCCGTTGTTATGCTAGCACCTTGGTTCACCACACCCAGACGCTACGAGTGTAACAAGCAGGACCCCCCTTGTTATGCTAGCACCTTGGTTCACAAAAACCCAGATGCTACGAGTGTAACAGGCAGGACCCCCCTTGTTATGCTAGCACCTTGGTTCACCACACCCAGACACTACGAGTGTAACAAGCAGGGACCCCCCTTGTTATGCTAGCACTTTGGTTCACCTCACCCAGACGCTACGAGTGTAGCAAGCAGGATCCCCCTTGTTATGCTAGCACCTTGGTTCACCTCACCCAGACGCTACAAGTGCAAAAAGCAGGGACCCCCCTTGTTATGCTAGCACCTTGGTTCACCACACCCAGACGCTACGAGTGTAACAAGCAGGGATCCCCCTTGTTATGCTAGCACCTTGGTTCACCTCACCCAGACGCTACGAGTGTAACAAGCAGGGACCCCCCTTGTTATGCTAGCACCTTGGTTCACCTCACCCAGATGCTACGAGTGTAACAAGCAGGGACCCCCCTTGTTATGCTAGCACCTTGGTTCACCTCACCCAGACGCTACGAGTGTAACAAGCAGGGCCCCCCCTTGTTATGCTAACACCTTGGTTCACCACACCCAGACGCTACGAGTGTAACAAGCAGGGACCCCCCTTGTTATGCTAGCACCTTGGTTCACCACACCCAGACGCTACGATTTGTAACAAGCAGGACCCCCCTTGTTATGCTAGCACCTTGGTTCACCACACCCAGACGCTACGAGTGTAACAAGCAGGGACCCCCCTTGTTATGCTAGCACCTTGGTTCACCACACCCAGACGCTACGAGTGTAACAAGCAGGGACCCCCCTTGTTATGCTAGCACCTTGGTTCACCACACCCAGGCGCTATGAGTGTAACAAGCAGGGACCCCCCTTGTTATGCTTGCACCTTGGTTCACCACACCCAGATGCTACGAGTGTAACAAGCAGGGACCCCCCTTGTTATGCTAGCACCTTGGTTAACCACACCCAGACGCTACGAGTGTAACAAGCAGAGACCCCCCTTGTTATGCTAGCACCTTGGTTCACCTCACAAAGACGCTACGAGTGTAACAAGCAGGGACCCCACTTGTTATGCTAGCACCTTGGTTCACCTCACCCAGATGCTACAAGTGTAACAAGCAGGGACCCCCCTTGTTATGCTAGCACCTTGATTCACCACACCCAGACGCTACGAGTGTAACAAGCAGGACCCCCCTTGTTATGCTAGAACCTTGGTTCACCACACCCAGACGCTATGAGTGTAACACGCAGGGACCTCGCTTGTTATGCTAGCACCTTGGTTCAGCACACCCAGATGCTACGAGTGTAACAAGCAGGGACCCCCTTTGTTATGCTAGCACCTTGGTTCACCACACCCAGATGCTACGAGTGTAACAAGCAGGGACCCCCCTTGTTATGCTAGCACCTTGGTTCACCACACCCAGATGCTACGAGTGTAACAAGCAGGGACCCCCTTGTTATGCTAGCACCTTGGTTCACCACACCCAGACGCTACGAGTGTAACAAGCAGGACCCCCTTGTTATGCTAGCACCTTGGTTCACCACACCCAGACACTACGAGTGTAACAAGCAGGACCCCCCTTGTTATGCTAGCACCTTGGTTCACCACACCCAGACGCTACGAGTGTAACAAGCAGGACACCCCTTGTTATGCTAGCACCTTGGTTCACCTCACCCAGACACTACGAGTGTAACAAGCAGGGACCCCCCTTGTTATGCTAGCACCTTGGTTCACCACACCCAGATGCTACGAGTGTAACAAGCAGGATCCCCCTTGTTATGCTAGCACCTTGGTTCACCACACCCAGATGCTACGAGTGTAACAAGCAGGACCCCCCTTGTTATGCTAGCACCTTGGTTCTACCACACCCAGATGCTACGAGTGTAACAAGCAGGACCCCCCTTGTTATGCTAGCACCTTGGTTCACCACACCCAGACGCTATGAGTGTAACAAGCAGGGCCCCCCTTGTTATGCTAGCACCTTGGTTCACCACCCCCAGACGCTACGAGTGTAACAACCCAGGGCCCCCCTTGTTATGCTAGCACCTTGGTTCACCGCACCCAGACGCTACGAGTGTGTAACAAGCAGGGCCCCCCTTGTTATGCTAGCACCTTGGTTCACCACACCAGACGCTCGAGTGTGTAACAAGCAGGCCCCCTTGTTAGGCTAGCACCTTGGTTCACCACCCCAGACATACATAGTGTAACAAGCAGGACCCCTTGTTATGCTAGCACCTTGGTTCACCACACCCAGACGCTACGAGTGTAACAAGCAGGGCCCCCCTTGTTATGCTAGCACCTTGGTTCACCACACCCAGACGCTACGAGTGTAACAAGCAGGACCCCCCTTGTTATGCTAGCACCTTGGTTCACCACACCCAGATGCTACAAGTGTAACAAGCAGGACCCCCCTTGTTATGCTAGCACCTTGGTTCACCACACCCAGACGCTACGAGTGTAACAAGCAGGGCCCCCCTTGTTATGCTAGCACCTTGGTTCACCACACCCAGACGCTACGAGTGTAACAAGCAGGACCCCCCTTGTTATGCTAGCACCTTGGTTCACCACACCCAGACGCTACGAGTGTAACAAGCAGGACCCCCCTTGTTATGCTAGCACCTTGGTTCACCTCACCCAGACATAAGGCACCTCACTTTGTACATAATATTTACCTCTTCTAGCTCTCCCCCCTCTCATCTTCACCTCTGTGTCCTCAGTACATGTATTATGTATGATCTTAAGCTATAAGAACAAGTGTGAAGACATTAGTCCAGTCTTAAACTGCTGGCTAATGTGGGTGTGTGAGACGTGGGTGTGTGAGACGTGGGTGTGTGAGACGTGGGTGTGTGAGACGTGGGTGTGTGAGACGTGGGTGTGTGAGACGTGGGTGTGTGAGATGTGGGTGTGTGAGACGTGGGTGTGTGAGACTGGGTGGGGTGGACGTGGGTGTGTGAGACGGGGGTGTGTGAGCGTGGGTGTGTGAGAGTGGGTGTGTGAGACGTGGGTGTGTGAGACGGGGTGTGTGAGGGGGGTGGTGAGCGTGGGTGTGGGACGTGGGTGTGTGGAGGGGGTTTTGTGGGGGGGTGTGTGAGAGTGGGTGGGTAAAGAGGGGTGTTTTGGGGGGGTGGGGAGCGTGGGTGTGGAGACGTGGGTGTGTGAGAGGGGTGTGTGGCGTGGGTGTGTAAGACGTGGTTTGGTGAGACGTGGGTGTGTGAGACGGGGGTGTGTGAGAGTGGGGTGTGTGGAGTGGGTGTGAAAGACGTGGGGTGTGAGACGGGGGTTGTGAGGGGGTGTGTGAGAGTGGGCGTGTGAGACGGGGGTTTGGTGAGAGTGGGTGTGTGAGCGTGGGTGTGTGAGACGGGGGTGTGTGAAAAGTGGGTGTGTGGCGTGGGCGTGTGAGCGGGGGTGTGAGACGGGGTGTGTAAGACGTGGGTGTGTGGGGACGGGGGTGTGGAGACGTGGGTGTGTGAACGTGGGTGTGTAAGAGTGGGTGGTGAGACGGGGGTTTGTGTGAGAGGGGTGGTGGACGTGGGTGTGTGGACGTGGTTGTTAAGACGTGGGTGTGTGAGACGGGGGGTGTGTGAGCGTGGTGTGTGAGACGTAGGTGTGTGAGGTGGGTGTGTGAGACGGGGTGTGTGAGACGTGGGTTGTGGCTGGGTGTGTGAGAGTGGGTTTGTGCAAGAGGGGGTGTGTGAGCATGGGTGTGTGAGACGTGGGTGTGTGGACGGGGTGTGTGGGACGGGGTGTGGAGAC